CAGACAGAGAAGTGAAATGGAAAACTTCCAAGATGGTTGTTTACCAGATATCTGGAGACAAACAAATTATGTGTGGTGATCTCCTTGAGGCCAATGCCTTTGAGGTCTCCTTGGATGTGATAAGAGATATATAACCCAATACAACAAAGAGTCCTGTGGCTCCTTATAGACAAACAAGTTTTATTTGGATTCACTTTTCTTAACTTTCAACCCACTTCATATTCATGCTTCTGAGGAAGTCCATGAAAACTTGTTGTTGTTGCATGTCTTCAAGTAGTTTCCAACTTATGGTGACCCTAAGGCCACGGGGTTTTCTTGGCAAGTTTTTTTCAGAGGGGGTTTGCCATTACCATTCTCTAAAGATGAGAGAGAGAGTGACTTGCCCATGGACACCCAGTGGATTTCATGGCTGTGCTGAGATTCGAACCCTGGTTTCCAGAGTCATAGTCCAATGCTTTAACCACTACACCACTACACCACACTGGCTCCCCCATGAAAACTCAGGCCGAAGAAAATGTGTTACGTTTTTATGATGCCACACAATACTTTGCTGTTTTTGCTACATGACTACATCCCTCCCCTGAGTAAATCCACTGCATTGACATAAATGGCATATGTGTTCTTTTTATTTTAGTAACAAAATAGTCTTAGGTGTGGAATAAGTGTCAGTATGGTGTAGGGGTTTGAGCATTGGATTATGACTCTGCTTGACGATGGAAACCCATTAGGTGACCTTGGGCAAGTCACAGTCTCTCAGCCTCGGAGGAAGGCAAAGACAACCTTTTCTGAACAAATCTTGCCAAGAAAACCCCGGGTGAGGTTCACCATCAGTTAGAAACAATGTGAAGGCACATAACAAACAACAAGGTGTGGAATGATGGAGATATATGCGAAACTTCGTTATATTTGCATGGAATACTGTCAAGTGTTTGCAAAACAACTTCTGAACTTTGATTCAAGAAAGACAGGTTATGAGGTATAAATACAAAGGTATAAACACAGAGCAAACATTGATAAGAACTTTATTTAGAGCTTATATGATCAGAATGATAAGAACATTCTCCGATCACTCCTGCTCTACACAAGTTAAATCCAGATTCAATGTCAATTTAAATTTAAATAAGTAGCAAAGTTCAAATCTGTCCTATTTCTACCCACCCAAATCCCAAATGTGTGTATCTATATGTATCTTTTTATATATGTATGTGTGTATATATATATATATATATATATATGTGTGTGTGTGTGTGTGTGTGTGTATCTATATATTTGTGTGTGTATGTTGTAAGAGTCCTGGTGGTGTAGTGGTTAAATGCCTGTACTGCAGCCACTCACTCATAAACCACAAGGTTGCGAGTTCAATACTAGCCAGGGCTCATCCTTCCAAGGTCGCTAAAATGAGTACCTAACTGTTGGGGGGCAACGAGCTTACAGTTGTAAACTGCTTAGACATCCCATAGCATGATATGAAGTGGTATATAAATGAAGCTGCTTTGCTTTATGTGTGTATATCTTTTTCTATATATATGTCTCTCTGTGTGCGTGTATATATATATATATATGTGTATATATATGTGTGTGTGTGTATCTTTATTTGTATATATGTGTGTGTCTATATGTAGGTATGTGTGGATACAGTTGCCCCTCTGTTTTCATGGGGGATCTGTTCTGGACCTCCCCCTGTGAAAACGAAAAAACATAAATTTTCAAGCTCCATTGGCTTGAATGGCCACATGTGGCCATGAGCACGCAAACATGGGCACACATGCCATTTTATCCCTTCCTGCTTGCTGGTCCACAAAGGACCGAGACTGAAGACTCGAAGTCTGTGAATGGGGATGGACAGCTATATATATATATGTGTGTGTGTGTGTGTGTGTCTGTCTGTCTGTCTGTCTATCTATATCTATGTATGTGTGTGTATCTATATGTATCAATGTGTATATGTATACACATTGTAAACCGATTAGGGAGTGCTTAAGTGCACTGATAAGTGGTATAGAAATGTACTTGCTATTGCTATTGCTACTGCTATGTATTTGTGTGTGTATCTATATCTATATATTTGTGTGTGTGTATATATA